TGTCTCCCTTTCTGCGTCTCTCTTCCTTCTCTGCCCTAACCCACTCCCAGTACTGCATCTTAAGGGAAACAGAAAATAAAAAACTTGTATTTAGCAGAGAATTATATTGGCCATCTGCCTTTAAAGGACGAAAAACTACATTGGCACCTTTTCTGCAGACAATCAGGACTAATATAAGTCTCTGAAAGTCATTTAATTAGCAGACTTTTTTTTTAAGATTTTATTTATTTATTTGACAGACAGAGATCACAGGTAGGCAGAGAAGCAGGCAGAGAGAGAAGGGGAGATGCATTCTCCCTGCTGAGCAGGGAGCCCAACACAGGGCTCTATTCCAGGACCCCGGGATCATGACCTGAGCTGAAGGCAGAGGCTTTAACCCACTGAGCCACCTAGACGCCCCAATTAGCAGACATTTTAAGAGAAAAGACTTCTCCAAAGAAAGACCTAACATATAATTCAAAAACTGTTTAAGAATGGCTTCAAATATTAGGCATGGAACATTCTGTTATGTGACAGAAGCCATAATTTTTCCCCTTTTGGTTTATAAATGGAAAAACAACATCCCCAAACCTGCTACTTTCTGTGAGGAGGGTGGGGGGACAATGGTGAAAGTATCGCTTCTTGTATCTCTTTATTTGGCAGATATCCATAAGAACTTATTATTATTATTTTTTTAAGATTTTATTATTCATTTATTTATTTGACACAGAGAGAGAGAGATCACAACTAGGCAGAGAGATAGGCAGAGAGAGAGGGAAGCAGGCTCCCTTCTGAGCAGAGAGTCTGATGCGGGGCTCGATCCCAGGCCCCCGGGATCATGACCTGAGCCAAAGGCAGAGGCTTTAACCCACTGAGCCACCCAGGTGCCCCCATAAGAACTTATTATTAATAAGTTAATTAGTTCAGAGACCAGAAGGGAATACTGGAAAAAAAAAAATCAGACGCTTAAAAAACCCACTTGTTCCCTCTATTCATGATGAAAATAGACAGTACCTTGCCTGATATTAAGGTCTAGCCTCTTTCGATGGAAAGATCATCATCTTAGGTAGACAAATTGAGAAAGTGGCTTATCCATAGACAGATACGTAGCAGTACAAAGACTGAGACCATATTCTGGGTTTAATTCTTTATTACACCCCTGACTACTTTCTGTTTTGCCAGGGTAGCATAAAGACATGATGAAGCTGGGAAATTCTTTTGAGAACACCTAAGTCTTGGGCAAAAGTAATTCAGAGCCTTCTTTAGATTCAATCCAGCATTAAAGAAAAACCATTCACCTCCAATATTTAGGAATGAAGACTGACCTCAATTGTTGAGTTTGTCCTGGTTTTCCCTTTTCCAAGGAATAACTACAAGCTCATAATTGTTGAGCACTAGGAAGTGTCCTAGCATACACCAGGATCAACACCATGTCGCAGATCTATGCTAGACAGATTTCTTCCTTAAAATGTGTACAAACAGGCCAACAATAATTTTCCCATCTTGTTTTAATGTCTTACAAAAGGGTGGATGCTTGTTTGTTAAGTCCCGGGTGAGTAAAGTACCAGAGGGATAACAGGTGGTCTTTCAAGGCGGTGCCCCTGCAAGGCCATTAGGTGCCAAATCAAGAGGAAGGATCTGTTCTGTCGTCCGAACATCATTTCCTCATCGGGAAGCCCCAGCTTGTGAGAATATATGATAAATGGCCAAATGGAAACTTGAACTCATTTTCATTTCCTTCAAAGCCTAGCTTGTGTGTTTGACAATAAGCCCATCATGCATTTTGCTTTACATGGCCCTTCTGTTTCTCCCTTGGTACTCTTCTGAGAATTAAAAACAAAGCAGCTCGAGGGCGAGTATATAGTTTCCTAGGACTGCTATCACCAATTACCACAAATTTGGTGGCATGAAACAATAAAAATGTATTCTTTCACGGTTTGGGAGACAGAAGGGCCTACAGTCCAGTACCAGAGGGGCGGCAGCTTTCCCTCGGGAGGCTCTGAGGGAGAATCTCTCCCCGGCTCCTGTCGCAGCCTCTGCTGCTGGCCAGCACTCCGTGGCCTCAAGCTCTACCTCCCTATATCTCTCCCCATGTCTCTCCTTTTCACGCAAGGACAGCTCCTGTGTTGTATGATCTAATCTTAACAAATTACATTTGAGGGGAGGACACACTGAGAAAGCCAAGACATCCTAAAGTCAGTATTTGTGACCGTCTACATTGTTCCTCTCTCTGGAGAGCAGCTCCATGAATGAACGCTCTAAGATGCGCAGGTTAACCCTCAGTAACTTAAAGAGAACAACACTTGAGTTTATTTTAAAATATTACCTACCCGATTTTACAATCTACTTGGTTAAAGCATCATTTAATTTTACAGTGTGGCCCAGTGTAGGGAACACAGGGCTTCAAGATCTTGTCCTTGCAGAGGCTTTTTTTTAAGAGATTTTTTAAAAGTATTCATTTAAAGGGGGCTGGGGGAGCAAGAGCACAAGAGGGGAGGGGCAGAGGACGAGGGCGAATTAGACTCCCTGATGAGCAAGGAGCCTGATGACATGGGGCTCAGCTTGATCCCAGGATCCCGGCATCATGACCTGAGCCAAAGGCAGATGCTTTTTTTTTTTTTTTAAGATTTCATTTATTTATTTGACAGACAGAGATCACAGGTAGGCAGAGAGGCAGGCAGAGAGGAGGGAAGCAGGCTCCCCACTGAGCAGAGAGCCCGATGTGGGGCTCGATCCCAGAACCCTGGGATCACAACCCGAGATTAACCCACTGAGCCACCCAGGCGCCCCCCCCTTTTTTTAAATAATTATTTTTTACTGTGTTATGTTAGTCACCATACAGTACATCATTAGTTTTTGATGTAGTGTTCCAAGGGTCATTGTTTACGCATAACACCCGGTGCTCCATGCAGTCTGTGCCGTCCTTATTACCTATCACTGGGCCAACCCAGCTTCCCACTCCCTCCCACCTAAAACCCTCAGTTTGTTTCTCGGAGTCCATAGTCTTTCATGGTTTGTCTGCCCCCCCGATTTCCACCCTCCTTCATTTTTCTCTTCCTTCTCCTAATGTCTTCCATGCTAGTCCTTATGTTCCACATGTACGTGAAACCATATGATAATTGACTCTCTGCTTGACTTTTTTCACTCAGCATAATCTCCTCCAGTCCCGTCCATGTTGATGCAAAAGTTGGGTATTCATCCTTTCTGATGGCTGAGTAATATTCCATTGTGTATGTGAACCACATCATCTTTATCCATTCGTCTGTTGAAGGGCATCTTGGCTCATTCCACAGTTTGGCTGTTGTGGACGTTGCTGCTATGAACATTGGGGTGCCTATGGCCCGAAGGCAGATACTTAACCAACTGAGCCACCCAGGTGCCTGCCCCGCCCCTGCAGGGTTTTTGAAAGATGATGGGAACAGAACAGGGCAGTTTTAGTTGGAATCAGCCTGAGTTCACGTCTTGCTCCCTGCTCAATGCCTGTGTACGAGGAGGGCCCGAGAGTCAGTCTGGGTCCCGATGACCCCCACATCTCCCTTTTCGTCTCATCCGTCACACATCATTTCAAGAGCAATTAGCTGAGGAAACCAGCTGCCATAGAGTAGAAAAAAACTCCTATAAGCTGGAAGAGATTCAGCCCAAAAGTTGTAGAGAATGATTTTGAAGTGCTAAGGTAAACATTTGAAAATACTCTTCCTTCTAGAGAATAGGTCTTACTTTCTGTTCCAAAGCCCAAAGACTCATTAGTTCTCATAATTTTTAAAATCTTTCTCAAAGAACTCTAAGTTTCTTCACTCTTAATTAAAACTTTGAGTAGACTGGCTAATTAGGAAAATACTGTGAAGGAGGAAAAATAAACCACAGAATGCCTTTCCCTAGTCCCTGCTCCCTTTCCTGGAAGAACACAATAAAATAAAGATGTTAAGACAGTTCAGTGCCCAGATCTGAGAGCATAATCATGCATCTTCTAGATGTTTGTACTTACTTCTGGATAAATTCATTCTTCGAGTCTCAGGATGCATATCTTTCCCTCACCTGTCACACTCTGTGCTCTGGTGTATGTAGCAAACAGAATGTCGGGCTACCGGGAATCAGGACTGGACTATTTCTCTTAAGCCCCTGACGCTGGCCAAGAAAAGAACCTTATCACGTGCTCAAGACTCCATTGCCAGGACTGATTATTTTATATGTAATTTGGCTCGATGATACTGCCAATCCCTAGTGAAATGAGAAAAGGAATAGATTTCTTCCAGGTAGGCATTCAAGGCCAGAATGTGGGCATTTGTGGCAGATTTTAGGTAGGGTCATAAGCTATTCTGTGGTTTTCAAAGGGCCTCTTAAAACAGTTACAGACTTCCTTTGGGAATATTAACTTCAGGACGACATTATGGCAGCCAAACAGACAACCTTGTTTTTAGTTAAAGTTTGGGGAGGGAATTAAACCTAATAGTATATGGATTTAGAGTTTTCATACAGAAGCCCCGGATACATAAGGGTTCTCTTCGTTTCAGTTGGTGGTATTGGCCTGTGGAACTGACCTGAACCCGGGTTAGATGTTTTTCCCCTGTAAGAAAGGAATGGTCTGGAGGTGCCTGGGTGGCTCAGTGGGTTAAAGCCTCTGCCTTCAGCTCAGGTCATGAGTCCAGGGTCCTGGGATCGAGCCCCACGTCGGGCTCTCTGCTCAGCAAGGAGCCTGCTTCCTCCTCTCTCTCTGCCTGCCTCTCTGCCTACTTGTGATCTCTGTCTGTCAAATAAATAAATAAATAATCCTAAAAAAAAAAAGAATGATCTGTGTACCTACCTCCAGTAAGAGGGTAGAGAGAGTACAGACCTCGATCACCCCTTCATCGGGAACTCTTTGAATCCGACTGGGACTGTGCTTTCAAAAAGAAAACACCTGTTTGATGCCAGCTGTGATCTTGCCCATCCTGCCCACTCTGCAGCCGCTGTGAAGCCACTGCGGGGTCGGCAGTAATGAGGCCGTGCCCTTTCCAACTGTGGGTGTTTTCTCTCTTTGACAGCCGGAGGAAGAGCCAATGGTCTGTGACATCACCGGATCCAGTTCGTCCACCGACGACACTGCTTCCCTGGATCGACATTCTTCTCAAGGCAGTGATGTGTCCCTCCCCCAGATTTCAAATTTGAACAGGTCCAGAGATCAGCAGGGTCTTGATGGCTTCTACAGCCATGGCGTGGGAGCTGAGGGTCGAGAGAGCGAGGGCGAAGCTGCCGGCTCAGGTGAGATGGAGGAGGAGGAAATGGACAGCATCACCGAGGTGCCCGCGAACTGCTCTGTGCTGAGGAGCTCCATGCGCTCCCTGTCCCCTTTCCGGAGGCACAGCTGGGGTCCTGGGAAGAACGCAGCCAGCGATGCAGAAATGAACCAGCGCAGGTGAGGTGGACCCGGCAGGGCTGTTGGTTTCGTTTCTCGATGTCCGCTTGCGTTTGATTCTGTGATTTTGTGTTGTCGTGGTAAAAGAACTTAGGAGACACCATGGTACGGAAGAAAGCAGATGGGCTTTGGAGTCAGGAGAACCTGGGTTCAAACCCCAGCTCGGTAACTCACTATGTAGATAAGCTTGGGCAAGTTACTTGACCCCTCTGAGCTTTAATTTTCTCATCTGTAAAATACCTTCCTTTCAGAGTATTTGCAAGAATAAGTATTGCAAGTGAAATAGGCCTGTTACATGGCGGGTGTTTAATAAATGCTAACAGTCATTCAGGCCAGATCTGTTAATAACATTTATAGATTAAAAACTGGTGGAAGGGAATAGTGTCCTGTTGACTTTGAATTAAAAAGCAAACATGAGGTCTTAGCCTCAACACCATCTGTTTTCTTTTTTTTTAAAGATTTTATTTATTTATTTGATAGAGATCACAAGTAGGCAGAGAAGCAGGCAGAGAGAGAGGAAGGGAAGCAGGCTCCCCGCTGAGCAGAGAGCCCGATGCGGGGCTCGATCCCAGGATCCCAAGATCATGACCTGAGCTGAAGGCAGAGGCTTTAATCCATTGAGCCACCCAGGTGCCCCTACACCATCTGTTTTCAAAGTGCTTCCCAGAAATTGCAGTCCATTTCTAATGCAGAAAGTTTGGACGGAGTCTGAGTGATTATATAATCAGTAAGCAAGCCTACGAATCACTCGGTATCATTGGATGGTTGGTATTTCTCCACGTACCCTCCAGTCCTCGGGGGCGCATGTATGTGACCCCATGTCAGACCTTCTGTGCGGAAGCAGGCTGGCAGGAGGTGGTTTGGAGTCGGCCTCTGACCATAAGCTGCTTCCAGGAATTTAAGCAGACGGCTTTCCGTCTAACGACCAAGTGCCGTGATGCCTGCTGTACGTACCAAGTTGTGCTTCCTCCCCAGCTACTTTCCAGCTGCAGAAAGGCAGCCGAGGGAGCAGGCTGACGGTGTGAACACAGGTGATGTGACAAACTCACCTGAGCGGTTATGGCTTTTTCTCTTTTTAAGTCGCTGACCTGCCTCCTCATAACGTGGCTCCGATTTCAGAGCTGTAGGTACGTGGACTCTGAGGGCACTCGCCCCCTCGCTTATTCTTTTATCCAGCCAACACATGCTGAGCGCCGGCGCTGTGCCGGGCGTTTCTAGGTTCGGGGGACACAGGTGAACGAGCCACAGTCCCTGCCTTCGTGGAGCTCACAGCGCTGCCTTACCCTCGGCTCGTGTACTACTCTTCTCAGACTTGTTTCACGGCAAACTGTCCCCGTGGTTTTCCAGTCCTCTCCCCGAGTCAGGTGGCGTTGTCTGCAGGTTCACAGGTGAGGCAGGTGCAGGTGGTTGATACCACTTACCAGTAACTAGGTTCCTCGCCTCCTAGGTAAGTGCTCTTTCTGTGATTCCATATTATTCTCTGATAGAGTTCAGGAGCTGCCCTGAAAAATCAGCAGTTGCTTTTTCTGCTGGGTCGTTTTTATGTACATTTGAAAGCATGGATTGTATAAAAAGCCATTTCTAAAAGCTTTCCTTCCCAGCTTTATTCACACTATATTTTAAAAAAGCATTCACACCAGTTAAAAAAAAGTCAGGATGTGGGGAATGATCCCTATAGCTAGAATTCCCTTCCTGAAGCAAAAGCAGTCTCTTGACATACTGTCAGGATGCTAACGGCATCCAGAAATGGGGGTTTGTTTTAAACACAATCCCCTTTTCTTTATAACCTGCTATGGGTTCTTTTGCCGTGACTTTGATTTCAGAGCTGGCTTGACTGTGGAGCCTGTAGCTCAGATGAGGAAATTAAAGCTCAGACTGAGTGATTTGTCCCAGATTACAGGGTGCTCTTAAGACCGAGCGAAGACTAGAGCCCTATCACCTAATTACTCATATGTGCAGCCCGTGTAGTATCGTGGCCTCTCCTGGGTGAGCCTAGCCTTGGTAGTCCCCTCGCACCTCCGCCCCAGTGCCTCTGGAGATGAGGGAAGGACTTGAATGAGTTTGATGCTTGTAGCCTTGTCTGTATATTATATAACCTGAATTTTAAAGTCTTAAGAAAATCCTTTGAACGCTTTAGATGGCCTTTTTTTAATCCTTTTATAATTTAATAAACCTCATTCCTTGTCATCTGATTAACTCTTGGGAGCAAGGAGGAAGCAGAGTAACCCTCCCCAGAAATTGTCAGGCCGTCAGGCCTTTGTGGTTTGTTTCCTCCTCCACACACTCTCGTTCCCTGCCTTCCTGTACTGTTTCTCTGAGTGGCTTGTGTCTCCCCCAAGCCTGTGATGTCTGTGTGCTTCATGCGTTTGTGTCCATTTGTTTCACCTCAACACTGACCTCTTCCACCATTCATTTTCAGTTCATTGCGAGTTCTGGGGGATGTTGTCAGGAGACCTCCCATTCATAGGAGAAGGTACAGAGTTCACTAACTTGATGGACTAACTGTGTTGCCTCTGAGCTTCTACTAACAAGCATCTCATTTTGCTTGATCCGTGATTAAACCGTCTTTTACAATAATGTCAACTCTGCTTCAGGCAAATAAAGTATAGGTATTTATTAATTGCTGATGTCCATTTGCATATGAAATGGTTTTGTGAGTCTGAAATTTTTTCCTATTCTATTTTTATCTTTAAAGGAAACTTTTGTTAGTGTTTTTTCCATCTTGTACTTACTGATGTTCAGGTCACTTTGATAATAGGGGCTCCCCAACTGTCCCTAGGAGAATTCAGACACGTTGATTGTGCCTGACTAGTGGACTCTGAGGAGTGCTTTTTCTTCCCCTTCCCACCCCCCAAAAAGGGGGAAGAACCGGAAAGAATTGTGAGCTGACACACAGGCCCTAACACATTTTCAACACATTCTAGGCCCCCTGATCATCTCTACTCCATTGTTGATGTAGTCATTTCTGAAAACAAGTAAGAGTCATCAGCTTATCTCCCAGTAATTCCTTAATTATTTTTTGTCAGGTAACATTTTAAAGCTAACAATTAGTAACTTATGAACTGCAAAGTCATTTCTACTCCAAAAATGCCAATTTGCTTTTCAGATGCTGAGTTTTACTGTGTTCAGAAATCGCCACTAATGACCTTTCCTTTCCTTATTTGGGGGGCGGAATTCAGAAATCCCAAAACGACGGTGGAGTTACACATAGCCTCTCATATTGGGAGACATCTGTAAAGCGATGTTTTCAATTCTGAGCCGAAGCTCTTCCTTGGGAAGCTGGCAGGTAGTGGTCCTCCCCGTTTCGTCTTTTTCCAGTGGGTTCCTCCTCGAATCCCAAATTTCAGGCGCAGAATTGGATTCAAATACAAATACCCCGTGAATCTCAGGTGATCGGAACTCGGTTGAGTTGTTCTCCCAGGGGAACAAGTCGTTAAATCCCTTTTCAGTAGAAGCGTCTGAACCCTTGAGAGATCTAGTTGCCTCTCCAGTCAGGCTCTTCACTAGGAACGTACTAGAAGCCTGCACGCGTTGACAGTGGAAGGTGGCGGGTTGCTGGATGCCGTCCCACTGAGCACACAGAGCTTCACAACAGCACCAGACTCCACTTCACCCTTAGTCATTTTAATGCAGGAAGAATATGAAGTATAATTTAAAATTCTGTATGAAGCCTTAGCTAGTAAAACTGGAACATTCCCACAATTGTTAAAAGGTGGAGAGCAGGATATTTGTGGGTTGTTTGGTGTGTGTGTGTGTGTGTGTGTGTGTGTGTTTGTTTTAAGAATCTGGTATTTTCTAAATCTCAAAATGAGGCCAGAGAACCTTTAAATGTTACCCCCAGTAATAGAGGAATTAAGGAGATTGGAGGATGCTCTCTTGTGATAGGAGTTCTCTGCTAGAAGGAAGGGCGGGTCTGCAGCTGCTGAAGGACCACAGCAGCTTCCTTCCTGCTGCCTTAGGACCCCCGTCTTGTCCTCTTCCTGTCTCCCTATCGCTCTCCATTCTCTTCATCCTAAATTTCACTCTGTTCTCGCACATCGTTATCATTTTCTGAGAGTAAAGGGATGTTTAAATCTGGAGAGTTTTTTTTTTTTTTTTAATAATTTGGTAATGTATGTTCAGTTCCTGATTTACCATGTTGTGTTTTGAATAAGTTGGATATCTTTAAAATTTTTATTACAGTTTAGAGATTCAAAATGAAGTGAATAATTTCAGAGAATGGACTTCTTAGTCTTGTGTGTGTTTTAAAATTATATCAAGACTTGCTACCCCACACAAGCAAATTACAAGTCAGTCTGATTTTGCTTATCAGACTGGAAATGTGTCTTAAATGCTAATTTTTCCTTTCTGCTTCTGCCCTTGAGCTTTGTGCTATTTATTAATTTAACCTGATTTTAAGTGTTTTACTATTTAAATTATTTTTAAGTGCTATGATTTTTAAAGATTTACTTTTAGAAGGCTCATAGGGGTAGTTCTTCTCTTTATTTTCTCGCCACCTTCCTTGTGTCTTTTCCTCTGCCAGAAAACCCCCACTTATCAAAACAAAGTTACTAAATATATTCAAGGTATTCGAGTGGTTTGGGGTCTGTACATCTTCCCATTTGCAGGATTCCAGAGAGACTTGAGGGGGTGTTACTGTCATTCCTCCTTCTGAAAACAAAAACACGTCACTTAAGAGTTTTAAGGCCCCAAATAGTAGCAGTGTATTTTTAAACTGATTTTTGATTTGTCAGTCAAAAATCCTGACCTACGGAGGCAGTTCCCTTTACAGAGTACCTGAAATTTTGAATTGGTAATTTTTTTAGCTGGTTATATTTACATGGTATTTCCAACCCTAGATTTTCTGTCCCTCCCACTTGAGAGTAAATAGCAGTGCCAAGATAAAGTAGATGATCAAACGGAGTGTTTTGTTTTTTTAATCTTGTGGGGGGAAATGGATGCAAACCTAAAATTAAGACACATTTCTAACTCAGTTCCATAGAATTCCTTTTCTTTTGAATAACATACATGCCTTCATTATCATTAAAATACAAGGAAACGTGACCATTGTGATGTGGTGAATCTTCATCCCAAGAGCTTAGTGAGTAGGGTTTAAAGATGGCTGTGAGTGTTGATAAGATAGCCTTTTGAGGAAAGACTCCTGAGCCATCTGGCTTAGACGGACCCTTACTGGAAACGAGAAGAAGATTGATGACCCAGTGAGCCTACCCCATTGCAATCTGTCATTGTCCGTTTTAGTCAAGGATTTAGTGTAGTCAAGGATTCTCACAGTGGCCAGTGAGGTCTGAGAGTGGCATGTTGGAGCGCACAGAGAGATGGTCTCCGGTGGTGGGGACACCCCTGACCTGTGGAGGGGGCACTACGGGTAGAGTGGATTCTTTGTTCAAAGTTGTTACCCTGTAACGAACTGACAAGAGACATGTCCAGCACATGGTCTAGATGGGTGTTAGTAGGGCAGTTTTAAGTTTCTGTGGGTTTTGTTCTATCTGGCCTTCTTCTGAATTCTAAATGTTACGTTCCTTATTTTTTGATGATCAGATAAATCCATCTGTCTGTAACTATGGCTTTTCTTTTCAAACCCAATAACCCTGTCCCTGTTTCCTCTTTTCTCCCTCCATTTCTGTTTCTGCCTTTGATGTCCTCCCCAGTATGAGCTGGTGTCCCTCTGGTGTGCACTACTCTGCTGCCCTGAGTGCTGACTTTAATTACAGAAGGTATGGTATCGTTCCATGTCCAGCCACCAAAGGGGGAGTCCCAAAACACAGCACCTGGGCTTTTGGCTGGGAGCTTGCTTCTATGTGGCTACAATGCATATGGCAGCCCGCTTTGCCTGTGAGCACGGTGTTGAGTTGCCTCTGCTGTGGGCATCACTAATCCATTTGAAGGGGCACAGACTAGGAGGTGGATGGCGTACCCTGATGCATCCTGCTTATCTCCAGTGGCTGTAGATTTGGTGTTTTCTGCACAGACTTGTATCTGGTATGGTAGACCACTTCTCTCTTCGTTTTTGCTCTGTCCTGATTCCCAGAACCTGGGGATTCCCATATCCTGACAAAAACCATGACAGAAGCAAGGCAGCCAATAAGCGCACTTACTTCTGTTGTGTTTCCAAATCCCCCCTCTCTTTAGGTTCCAAATTCACAGATTCCTCACTGTTTCATATTCTCTCAACTAAGCAGACAGATTAATTACTAAAACATTTTCAGGATTAAGTTTTGTGGGTAATAGGCTGGTTTCTCAGGCTTTACAAACAATTCACAATAGAAAACTAAATTTCTTCTTCATTTAGCGTGTCTCCTTATCCCTGGGACTGCTAATGAGTTTCACAGAGACACATTTACTTGTACTTAATCATGACTTCTATTGTCATATTGAAATAAGAAAAACAAAATCTATTGTTTTAAGTGACCCACTAGAGAAAAATAGAAGCATATGGTTTCAGTTCATAATAAGTAATTTTATGAAATATAAAAAGCCAATCGCAAGCTCTGGATTGGCGTCCGTGAATTATTTGTAGAATTAACTGTAGAGTTTGAGCAGAGATAGCTGAATAGCGTCCATATACCTTCAAATGCATTTCCACCTGCTTGTAACTGAGGACATGGTCAGCTCCAGCTCTGTTTTGCTCTCTTGCTTATTGGAAAGCAGTTCCCACTGCGACTGCAGCAGGTGTGGGTTATTCTGGCTAGCAGCCCTGCAGCAAGGTAGATACTCGGCTGACTGCTATCTCTAGTCTCCTGCTCACAAAACACATGCTTTCTTCACTCTGCAGACCACAACATCATTATTCCAGGGATCACAGGCCCTAAATTTGCCCCCTTTTGGGGTCAGTATCTAAAACCAAAAAATTAAATTAAAACTCTTAGACTTAGCAGCTTTTCACCGTTCGTTCCTTAGGGTGGCCCATGCACCTGTCTGCAACTCACAGTTCTCAGGAAGCCTGTCCAGCATTTAGTGGTTGACCGGCCAGATGTGCACAGATGCTGCTACTCATAAGACCACTCGGGTCTCTCGGGTGGGCACACACTGAACTAGTAAAGGTCAGCTAGACTGTAGTTGAAGGTAAAGTTGTAATGGTCCACGTAACTGACACAAGGGCAAGTCTGGGTGTCCCTGTTCAGCTTCTGAGAGGGACTGAGGCGCCGGTTTTCTCTGTGCCGTTTAACTCTTTGGTATTAGCTGCGTTAGATTTTGGCAAAGATGAATTACATCAGATCAAGGAAAAACCCACACATAAATGAAAGTTCAGTAAGATAATATGGTCTATCCAGATGGTATATTGGAAAAAATCTTGAGAAAATGACCTTAGATGGTCACCGTTTGAGCAGGTTGAATGAGGAAAGAAAATCTAAATGCAGTCCTCTCTCAGCATACCAACACCTGTGGGGGGAAGGTAGGCGGCGCTCATTTGCGCCAGGCCCTTGTCAATAGTTTTGCTCGATGACATAGAAATAATGTACACCTGAAGCAATTTCTTATCCTCCTTCCTTCCTGAGACTCGGAAATAGAATGCACTAACTCCTTCACTCTGTGTTCAGTTTCAGCCTAGAAGGCTTGACAGGAGGAGCTGGTGTCGGAAGCAAGCCATCTTCATCTCTAGATGTGAACTCCTTAAACACCAAAGAGCTCAGGCACCCTTTCGGTGGTGAAGAAAGGGGTGACTCTTTGATGTCACTTTCAGAAGAGGATCTGGAATCAGGCCAGAGAGAGCACAGGATGCTTGAGCAGCAGGTAAGGCTGAAGTGGGTATATACCGCTAATTTGGAAAAACTCACTTTACTTCCCTAAATGTGTTCTCACATTAGGAACAAAGAAAGCAAGACTTACTCTAAGGCTCGTGGCTGTGATTGCTTACACATTATATAATACACTCATCTAGCACAAGGCAAGTTTTTAGCACTTAATGCTAATTCAAGAATACCATTAATCTGCATTGACTTAAATATTCTGTCAAAGCAGACTTTTTTTTAAATTGGGAAAGTACCCAGGGTATTAATTTGAATTTTTCCTTCTTATCTGAGGACTTCTTTTATCATCCCAATAGTAAAATGAGTCTTGAAGTGTTTTACACAACATTGTTAAATTTACTAATTTTTCAAAAACCTATCCCTTCCTGGGGGGGAAAAATCTTATTCTTTGTCTTCTCACACTGCCTAGGAAATGGCGGTTTCTTTCTCTCTGCTTCCTGTCGCCATCAGACTTTTTCAGAGAGCATCCTGATGCCCTCTTCCTGCCTGCCACAGGCACTCACCTGGAGCTCTCTCTTGGAGGGCCTGGCCTTCCTCGAAGCCAGTCAGATGACCTTCCCAGTGCTGTCCCCTCTAGGCCCTCCCTTCCGTCACTCACCACCCGGGGCGGGTCCTCAGGGAGTTTCCCTTGAGAACTGGAATCATATGGTTTTAGATTTTGGCAGACTTTTGCTCCCCGTCCTTTATCCTCCTCTTGGGCCAAGGAGGATTCTGTGATACATGTGCAAATGAAACATTTCTAATTACACAGACAACAGAGTTAAACACCTGTCTTTGTGTAGGTGACTGGAGTTTTAGGTAGAAATAGAATGAAACATTTCTAATTAAACAAACCAATCAAAGTGTTGAACAGCCTGTTCTTTGAGTAGGTGACTTGGGGTTTTATGTACACAGTTAATGTTTTGTTATACCCCACTACATAGCAGTGATATGACCAAAGAGAAATTGGGCACTGGAGGATTACCTTAATAGTGAATGTGTTACTTATGTGAAGGTCCAAGAGAATTTCAGCCAGATGAAAATCGAATTGAAGGCCCAAAGGAATTTTGCCCCATTATCTCCTTTCCCCACCACATGTGTCTTCTGAGCCTGATACTTTAGAAAAAGTTAAGAAAAATAACAAGAAGATGGTGAATAGGGACACCTGGTTGGCTCAGTCAGCAGAGCATATGACTCTTGATCTCGGGGTTTTGAGTTTGAGCCCCATATGGGCTGTAGAGACGATTAAAAAAAATAAATGAACCTTTTAAAAAATAAAATTTTTTCAAAGAGCATGGAGAATATATTTATTGAGGCAAATGATTTAAATTTATTCAACCTGATGGTAAGAGAAAGAGGGAGTGAAAAATGGAAACAGTTCTTTCATGACTTGCCAAGGGAATCTTTGGTAAGTGGAGACTCTGAAGAGTAAACCGCATTTCACGTGAATAGAATCCTTTGGAAGTCCATTGTAAGACTGGGCAAAATACCAAAGTTGGGGGTTTGTGAACAGAACCCTAGACTTAGGGCCTGGATGTCCCTTCGGATTCTGCATAAGCCCGTGTGTGAGAACTTCACGCCCATTTGAAGTGACTCGCCTGAGGCCTCATAACTAGCCACTGGCTGGACAGTATTAATCTCAGAATTCTTGGCTGTTAATCTCCCTGGTTTTTTCCCACATTTTTGAAGTAGAAGAGTTTTAATGAGGAAATGGGGACATTTTAATTTTCTTAATAGTGTTTATGTAAAACCTTTTCTGAAATGCATATTGGTAGGAATTGGACAGAGGATCTCTGTCCAATTAACTTACCTGTTAGTAAGTGATGTCAGTTACCACTAAAGTCTTTCTAAAATGGCTTTTCTGATTTAGTCTTCCTAGATGAAGTTGATGACATTTTCGTGTTTTCTGTGCTTAGTAGCCTTCCTGGAACTCTCTGCTCACCCACACTTTTTGTCTTGTGTGCAACCTCAGAGTGGGTATTTGAGCTCTGGTATCTCTGATCTGGAGAAGTCACCTGCAGCCAGCTTCCTGCTGAAGGTCTGTCTGCCTTTCACTGATGTCATTTCGCAGACCTCACAGTTGTACTCGAAACATAGCAACTGTTTGCCTCAGACTCCATGGTTACACATGGAACAAGTTTTTAAATAATCAGAAGTCTTTGGCGCACTTGAGTTGAATCATGGTAGTAACACATTTTCATTACTTCTCTTTGAGCATGTGCAGGTTTTAAGCTTCCTGTGAAGGGAGGGGGTTCATGACTAAGTTAGATAACAATTCTAAATGGCTCTCTGAAAACAAAAGGAGAGGGAGCCCCTCCACCACCGGAAGAGTGCTGGCAAACACTGGGATGAACTGTCCTTGTAGGGTTAGAATTCCAGGGGCTTCTGGTGTCTGTTGCATTACATGGGCTTGAAGCTGCTGTGAATTTACTGAGGGAGGTAAATTGCCAGGTTTCAGCCCCCCTCTTTTTCTTGTAGAAGTAGTCTAATCTTAGAAGAGGAAATGAAAGAGATTTAGGTTTCTTCCCAGATGCGCAGCTGCCTTGCTCTTGATCTTAAAACACTTTTCACTTGCAGCTCTGTGTCCAGCTTGTTAAAATCAGAAAATAATATTACTGATATCCCACTGTATCTCTAGAAAGGATATTTAGGTTTTTGAAGAAAAAGAACTACTGTATGTAGTTTAATATTTCCAGTGAAGTTATTTTTGTCTGATGATGCAGCAGATGTTTACTAAGCACGTACTAAGTTTATTTTTTTTTAAAGATTTTATTTGTTTATTTGACAGAGATCACAAGTAGTCAGAGAGGCAGGCAGAGAGGGGGGGCTGGGAGCAGGCCCCCTGCTGAGCAGAGAGCCCCTTGCGGGGCTTGATCCCAGGACCCTGGGATCATGACCTGAGCCGGAGGCAGAGGCTTAACCCACTGAGCCACCCAGGCACCCCAGCATATACTAAGTTTAAAACATCAGTGTTGTGAGGGATATGAAACCACTGTACAGGATGGCTGCTCCCGTGATTCCCATTTTACAGAGAAGAAAAGTAAGGTTCATGAAAGCTGAGTAACTCCTCTGAAGCTGAGCAGCCCCTAAGTAGCGGGGGCAGACTCGAACCCGGTGAGTCTGACTGCAGAGCCTGTGCTGTTACCCTCCCGTGTACTGCCTCCTGTTCCTGGGCTGGGCTGGAAGGTGCAGCTCTTTGCTTCTCCAGAAATAATGAGAGCCCGTATTTAGAACCTGTTCTTCAATTCTGTTTTGTTTCGCTTTACTTCACAGGCATGTCACAGAGCTAAACAACAGGGATTCAATTACTGTACATCAGCCATTTCCTCTCCACTAACAAAATCCATCTCATTAATGACAATCAGCCATCCTGCGTTGGACCGTAAGTATATTACTTTTTTTTTTTTTTTTAATTAAGTATATTTTAAACACTTTATCATTTTTCTCACTTGAAGACCCTGGAATGTTACCTTTCAAAATTTGCCTCCCTCTTCTGAATGGCTCATTTAAATAGAAAAGGTAACAGACAGTTCAGTTTTAGGGAATTTCCTCCTTTTGCCACCTAAAAATCTTTTTTATACATTAAAGGCATTATAGTCTTGGGCCTAAACTTAACACAGATTTCTTTAAACTTTTTATTTTGAAGTAATTTCAGACTTTAAAAAGAGTACAAGAGTGCAAAGAATTACCACATTTGGGGACTTAAAATGTTATCATAACCATAACCTGGAGTCCCCCAAGTGTTATTTATATGTGTGTGTGTGTGGGTACACACACATATATATACATATATGTATATATTATATAAAAGTGTCATAACTTTTTATCAGTCTCTCTCTATCACTTTAAAGTGTTTTTCTGAAACATGGAAAATAAGTTACAAACAATGCCGTTATGTCTGAAAGATACTCTGTTCTATTACCGAGGTACAGTTACCCACTATTAATTTCCTGACCTCTTCAAAAATGTCAAGCTCATGAAGAACGAAGAAAGACAGAGGTACACTTTCATTTGATTAAGGATGTGCCAAAAGGATTACATCTGCAAATGATGAAGGGCGCCCTGTGCAGGTTTTGGACTCTTTGGCTGGGGAAGTGAGATAGACGTTTGACACCCGTCAGCAGGGGCCTTTGCAAATAAAGGTGCTCAGAAACACTCGAATTGGATTGAAGTGTTTGCCATGGAAACGCAGCTTGTTCTTTGAGAAACCCCACCTTTTTGTTTTATTTTTTAAATCTTGGTTTCTTTTTTTCCATGAGTAGTTACAGTTTGAGACCATGATTTAAGATTTAAATGCTCATTAAAGGAAGAGTGGTCCATTATTTGCTGAAAGACTGTGTGTTCAGGAGGCTGAGACAGAGGGAGTAAATAAATTCTGTGGTGTTTCTGGGGCTTCTTCAGTGTCCCCAGATATAACTCATCTTAAAAGAGTTGGGGATGGAAACAGCTGCCCTGCATTAGGGAGATGTTCTTCTGGCTCAGTTCATGACTTACTGCAGGCCTCATCTTTTTAATTTCCGCACTGGAATTAAGACATGATTGATGATTCTATTAACCTTGTCCTCGTTTTCATGATCAGTACTTCTGGCCTGTTTGGTGTGTCTACTGATGACGTGTTCTCAAAGATGCAGGCGTGACCCCGCAGGACTGCAACTGGGATAGCTTTCCCCGTGTTTGTTTGGGTTTTGGTTTTGTTTTGATTTGGCTTTGGGTTAGAGGTTTAGCTGGTATAGAATGAAAATCATTATAACGAAATAGTTAACACTGGATTTGGTGAGCCTGGAGTGCTGCTGGAGCTCAATAGCCAAACACAGACAGGAAGGCGGTCTTAAGGGAGACATTTCAGCTCTGTGTAGCCTCCGTCCATGACTAGCGAGTGCGGTGTCATGGCGGCGAGTCTACTCCCATAGCAACAGATACCCAACACCGACAGAATGGGTCCCACTGAGGGATCTTTTTCCTATATTTTGTGACACACTCTTTGCCTCGTGCATGAAACACTTCATTAATTTTTCCTCCAGAAAGCAAGATGGTTTTCAACTATGTTTTCAGTTGCTAGCCAAACCCTATAAATAACGCGGCTAACTCCCAGAAAACACTGTCCTGGAGCGCCAGGAGTTCTGGCACATGGAGCTTTTCCTCCTGTTGCTGGGAAATGTTCTGCTCCGCTCTCTGAGGGAACTGAAGTGAGTTAGCAGACTGCTGTGGAGAGTAGAGCTCTAAGCTGGTGTTTAACCCTTTGTTCAGAGTAGGGAGCCCTCATTCTAACTCAGGTGGTACATTTCATGCAGGTTTGAGTGATTAAGTCGTAGTTAGCCCCACAATTTCCCTGAGTTAGCATGTGCTGTAATTGGAGGATTAATCAACTCTAATAACACTGTTTCTCCTTAGTCCCTCCCCATATACATTAAATTAATTTTCCCAAGTGTATTTTTTTTATTCTGTTCTAGAAACATGATACATTTTTTCACAGATGTGAAACTTCTGGCCATTGAACAGAAGACTAAACCTTGTGTCCCTTGTGCTCTGCCTTTAAGCGTCAGGGTCGCTGGACAGTTCTCCATTTGCCACAGACTCAGAATCGCTTATAATCGCATCCCAAATCACTTAAATACTCTGCCTGGTTCATCTCTGGTCATGGTCTTCCTAGCTGAAAGGATCATAACTAACATTTACACTGTAATTTTAAAGCCTTAAAGCATTTGGGACGCCTAAAATGTTTTACCTGATGTTTTATTGTAAGCACACATTTGGTGGCGGTGTGACCTTGGGCTAAATGGTGAAATTCTTTGTGTCAGTTACTTGATTAAACAGGGGTACTAATGTGATAAGGCTTACATGTACTTTTTACACAAAGTCCTTGGCGTACTTCCTGCCTTATAATAAGCAATTGGTACTGTTACAGAGTGAGTTCACAGTGCCTAGAACAGTGCCAGAGTCTGTCTCTGACCAGCGTGTAAACAGAGAAACGAGAACGCCATCCCTCATTGTCTTTAAGTGGTTGTGTCTTATGAGTATGCTTGTCTAGGAACAAAGTACTTTCTAAGATCAACCTTACTTCACTACTTACAGCTTCTACCCATGGTGTGTCTTCTTCCTTCAAAGAAATTAGCTGCTTCTGCCACAGCCTTTCACGGCTGTGAACATTGGGGCATTTCTGAAAATGTATGTCTCCTGAGCCTGTTGCTGGAATGCCTGTTGGGTCATTTTCTAGAAGACAAAAATAGAGAAACTCAACATTATTTCCAAGTTGGGATCATTTTCTGATATGCATTGATGTGGAGGAAAATCCTGAGTAAAGCTGGTGACTAATGGATTTCTTGTCATTTTCTGAAGTGGAAAGTAGACAGGTGACAGCTTTCTTGGGAACCACAATGGGTGGGGAGGCTGTCCTCACTCATGCCTTGGCTGTCCTGTCTTGGGGGGGACATGATGAATGCATCTTGCCAGATGATTCTTTTAGGGAATGGGACTAGCCCTGAAGGTACCCACATCGTGTGGAGAAATGCCTTCAAAGAAACTGCTCCTGGATATGTGTTTGGCCCCATTTCTCCTTCTTGCATCAGAGAGCATGGAGTGGAGACCCTCGGCTTGCCAGGAGACATAGATGATTTCTTGGTAGAATTTAAGAATCAACTTCGTTTTTCCATACACAGAATAATTCCATTATTCCAGATGATCCACTTCCAAGAGTATATTTTAACACATCTCATTGCTTATACTCAGAAGACGCTCACAAACAGTAGAGAAAGTGCTTGGTTGATTGTATCCCCGGAAGGGCCCTAACTACATTAGTAGTGGTGAGGTTAAAAGGAGAACTGTTCCCATAAGATAGATTTTTTAACTCAGAGGCTTTTATTTTTTTTTAAAAGATTTTATTTATTAATTTGGCAAACAGAGATCACAAGTAGGCAGAGAGGCAGGCAGAGAGAGAGAGGGGGAAGCAGGCTTCCCGCTGAGCAGGGAGCCCGATGTGGGGCTCCATCCCAGGACCCTAGGATCATGACCTGAGCTAAAGGCAGAGGCTTTAACCCACTGAGCCACCCAGGCGCCCCAACCAGAGGCTTTTAATGAGAGATCATTTTCCCTTCATTTTTCACGGTGTGTTATCACAAAGAATATACATGTTCCGCTTATGTTGAGGATACGCCTTAGATTGTCATACAAATAGGTTTTTCCTTATGATCCATGAAATTGTGACAAAAGGGGATACTCTTAGATTTTGTATAATAAGAGAGCTCATTTTTATTTCCTGAATTTGTTTCACATTTCGAAGTAACTTTAGAAAGCGCATGAAGAGGGTACCTTACTAGCTGTACTAGGTGGTCACTGCCCCAAAAAGCCAGTGTGTGTGTATTCGTGCCAGTAGCCGTCTGATCTGTTACTGATGTCGCTGCAGACTGTAGTCTCACATCACTTAGTATTTGTGTGGGTATTGCATTGGTTTAGGGCTTTTTTTGTTTCATTTAGGACACCAAGCTTTCAGAAAGCCTGACAGAGGGAAATTCATTTATTACTTTATTTATTCAATAAGCATTTGCGTTAGTCTTTGCCAGCCACCAGGCTAGACAGTGGTAGGAGAGAGATGAGCTTAGAGGTACGGTTTCTTTCCTCACTACATGCATGCAGAGAAGGGAACCAGATGCATGTAATAGGAAGTGATGAATGCAGCCAGTGGAAGAAACATTGGGCTTTCTAGGAGCATCTGACAGGGATGGCTTACTGGGGAGAAGTAATCTCAAAGGTGAGACCAATAGGAGATGGGGAATTCAGTCGGTGAGTTAGTGGCAGACGTCCTGCAGAGGTATCGTGGTTCCCTTCCAGACCACCGCGGTGAGGCAGGTATCACAGTAAAGCAAGTCAGATGAATTCCTAGGCTTCCCAGTGCATATAGAAGTTCTGTTTACACTGTGCTGTAGTCACGTGTGCAGTAACATGATGTCTAAAAAAAACAGTGCACATGCCTAAATTAAAAAAATACCTTATGTCTAAAAAAATAGTACCATCACCTGAGCTTTCGGTGCATTGTAGTCTTTTTGCTTGTAGAGGGTCTTGCCTCCACGTTGGCAGCTGCTGAAGGTTGGGATGGCTGTGGCAATTTCTCAAAACAGGACAGCAGTCAAGTTTGCCACAGAGCTGGATTCTTCCTATCATGAACAATTTCTCTAGCATGCGATGCTGTCTGGTAGCATCTTACCCACAGTAGAACGTCTTTCAAAATTGAAGGCTGTCCTCTCAAAACCTCCTGCTGTTATATCAGTTAAGTTAGTGGGATATTCTAAATTCTTTGTTGTCGTTCCAGTAATCTTCACAGCATCTTCTCCAGGAGTAGATTCCATCTCAAAATCCACTTTTGTTGCTCATCCGTAAGAAACAACTCCT